CGTTGAAATTGCACCAGGATAAGGTTGTTTGCCATTGTGAAGGACTCCAAATTGATCTAAGAACCAGGCCTGCGCATACAACAGAACAACCAACTAAATGAATGCCAGTAAATGAAAATGCACATGCTAAAAACCATAATATGAGGCATGATACAAAAGCATAAATTCACCAAACAATAACCTACATTATGAGAAAGACAGTCCAAGATTCTTGTTTAATGGGGGCTGTTTGGGCAACTTCACAAGATCTAGTTGACACAAGTTGATCAGCATAGAGACCTGCAAAACAGACCCAAGGGTTGTCCCTCGGGGTAGACACTCCGAGGCCCAAGTTAACAATATTCTATACTTGGGGCTCTCTTTAAAGAGAGAAATATAATAGAGAGAGAATTCTCCAAAAAGTCCTCATCACCTTTGAGGGGTGTAGGAGTATTTATAGGTCCTTTGGAAGTGCTTTACATGTGTTGCACTTCTATTGGTCCCTTTGGATCCATTTGAGTGTATATGAGCTTCATTGTGACTCATGGGCGTGCTCCTTTGTATTTGGGCTTTATGGGCCTTTATTTTGTTTATGGGCTAGTTAGATTACTATCCCAACATTACTCCCCCTCCAAGTGATTTCTAAGCTTGCTGAAAAATCACAATGGTTCAGCTTCTTGCTTTTATAGGTTGTAGAGGGGTCTGATTTATTCTTGAGGAATCTGGCTTGGAAACCTTGATTTGAGATTTCCAACCTGTAAGCTGAGAATGACGACCTAAAACCAAGGAGCTCAAATTGACGACCTGGAAGTAGGAAACTGATGAGTGACGACTTGGAAGCAGGAAGCTGAGGAGTGACGACCTGGAACCAGGAAGCTCAAGAGTGACGACTTGGAAGCAGGAAGCTGAGGAGTGACGACCTGGAACCGGGAAGCTCAGGAGTGACGACCTGGAATCAGGAAGCTCAGGAGTGACGACCTGAAACCAGGAAGCTTAGGAGTGACGACCTGAAAGCAAGAAGCTCAGGAGTGACGACCTGGAAGCAAGAAACTCAAGAGTGACGACCTGACGACCTGGAAACAGGAAGCTCAGCAGTGACGACCTAGAAGCAGGAAGCTCAGCAGTGACGACCTAGAAGCAGGAAGCTCAGGAGTGACGACCTGGAAGTAGGAAGCTCAAGAGTGACGACCTGGAAGCAGGAAGCTCAGCAGTGACGACCTGGAAGCAGGAAGCTCAGGAGTGACGACCTGAAAGCGGGAAGTTCAGCAGTGACGACCTGGAAGCAGGAAGCTCAGCAGT